TTAAATTTAAAAATTTTTAATTTTTTAAATTATAAATGTTTTTTACCTGATCCGCCAGGATTTCCAGCTTCTTCTGGAGGAACTCTGGGATTGTCACCTCGGGATCCTCCTCCTGCTGCTCCGGAATGCCTGCAAAGACAAAGTTGTCTCTCATGCTTCGCGACTGAATGTCCTGAATGGATTCTTTCATCTTCTTATTTTCACCATACAGCTGGATCATCCCCTCGGTGAGCTTCATGACTTCCCCTCTCAGCGCTTTGTTCGTGGCGGTAATAGAGACTAGATGCCCCTGGCTGTATTCCTCCGACTCTCTCAGGGCTTGAACCTCTTTATGTAGGACTTCTAACAAGGCGAGACAGGCGTCCAGGCTGGTTACCTTTTGGTTGATGGATTTCTGGACGTCGCTGTAGCTCCTGTCTGGAGACACAGTAGAAGAAGCACTGGTTGAGCTAGAACAGGAGCGTTTGGTTGAAGGTGTGTTTGTGGATGTGGGGTTTCTAGGCTTCCCCATTACGATGTTGTTGAAACACTCACCCAGCTAGCTCTACAGGTTCGTCAAGGTCTCCTTGTCCAGCTTGTTTCCTCGTAAAATACGAGACAATTGTTAATGTTTAAACCTTACTTTGTTTAATTTTCAATTATTGGCTTGTACTTACCTCAGTGGATTTGATACAAACTACGTGTATGCCACCATTTTACTTACGCACAGCTCTCCTGAGATCTCAGCCGCTCTTTCCCCAACTGAATTACAAGCATATTTGGTTTAACACATTTGTTTCCATGTCTTATGATGCTAACATGACAAAATTATTTAAGAGTATCTAAATATGATATGCTTAAATGGATGAATAAGATGCACTATGATTATTTTATGTTCAGTGTATTCACATGATATACAAAGAACATTTCAATACTGTTATTCTAAACACAGAACTATGTTACCTTTTTGGAGGCCAAATTACTCACCCCTTTTTGATGGTGGAAACAGCTAGTTGATTGATGAGCAACAGGGCACTTTCCAAACACCATTCAAAGGATGAATGACTTTTACCCTATTTTCACGACTATAAGGCGCACTTAAACGTCTTTTTTTTCCCCTCAAAATGTGCGGTGCGCCCTTTGGTGCGGTGCGCCTTATGTGTGTTGTAACTGCGACTTTTGAGACCACCTCATTGAGGAGATGATGAAAGAGTGGCTGAATGTAAGGAGACCAGGTGTTTTTTTTCCACTCATCACCATCGCTGGTAATCTGTGACTCAATGCCTGCCCATCTCACAGCTGATGTGAAAAACATGGTGAAACAAATTAAGCTGTGCTCGCTGTTATTCAACCGCTCGACATTGGTGTGAACCGGACCCAGCAGGTGCAGCAGAAGCAGCGTGTTTACATGCAAAGTCAATGGTTGACGCGCGTATAGGCGCAGCAAAAGGTCCCGCAGCGCGTTTTGAGCAGCAGGCGCAGCGCGTCGGGAGCGTTTAAGCATCTGCCAACGCGCTGCTGCTGCTCGAGATGGAAAAATTGAAGTTTTGCTGCTGGACGCGCCGCATCAACCAATCAGAGAAGCTGATCTGGGAGCTGACAGCGAGACAGACACATCGCTCTGATGACATATGATATTAAGGCAAATGAAAAAGGCTGGATGGATGAGGAGATGATGAAAGCGTGGCTGAGGCAGGTGTATGTGAGGAGACCAGGTGGTTTTTTCCACGCATCACCATTGCTGTTAATCTGTGACTGCGTGCGTGCCCATCTCACAGCCGATGTGAAAAAAAAGGTGAATCAAATGAACGCTGTTATCCCGGGGGGTCTGACAAAGGATCTTCAACCACTCGACGTCGGTGTGAACCGGCCGTTCAAAGTAAGGCTGCGAGCGGCGTGGGAGCGATGGATGACAGACGGAGACCACAGTTTCACGATAAGTGGAAGGCAGCGCCGGGCAAATTACGCCACCGTTAGCGGATGGATTGTTGATGCTTGGACTAACGTGTCTGCTGGCGCTGTTGTTCAAGCTTTTGCAAAAGCCAGCATTATTTCTGAGGAGCCGCCCGGCACGGAAAGTGACTCTGACAGCGAAGAAGGGGAAATTGGCATTTCTGATTTAGCGCAGCTGTTTAATTCAGAAACAGAGGATGATGACTTTGAAGGGTTTGATTAATACTTTGTAATAAATACATGAATAAAGCACAATCATACTCAGTTTTGCTCCCGCTCTATTTTTCTACCTGAAAACTTACTTTAACAGCAGCCTCTGGGCCGGGTCTCCTCCGGGTCGGCTGGCAGGTGTTTTTTCATCTAAATAATCTAAATCTTGCAGCTATATTTGCTGTGATCAGTGGGAATAAAGTAGTTTTAATATGTTTTTAAGTGAGAAAGTCCACCTGAAAACTTAACAATTGCCGTCAGTTCATCCAGATTATTATCCTGCCTATACTATTTCTGTCGGAGGTGCTCAGACCCCCACATACCAGCGGTACACCGACAGTAGAAATCCCTTCAACAGCAGCCTCTGGGCCGAGTAGCCTCCGGGTTCACCGCAGTGGCTGGCAGGTGTTTTTCATCTAAATAATTTAAACTGCAGGCACCAGGATACCGGCAATAAAAGCAAACATATTCCGTCGGCAGGTTTCAAGATTTTAAGTTAATTTAGGAGTGATCACAGCCCTGTCATCTGCGATGTGTCTGTCTCACAGCCAGCTCCCAGGTTTGATTAATACTTTGTAATAAATACATGAATAAAGCACAGTCATACTCAGTTTTGCCCCCGCTGTATTTTTAAATACGCAGTAGAGCTATTTAAAGGTAGTAGAGGACATGTACCTGTATATAAAAAACGCGCCCTATAGTCCGGTGCGCCTTATGTGTGTGTTAAATATAGAAATGGCACACATAACTGAGACTGCGTCTTTTAGTACGGTGCGCCTTATGGTCGTGAAAATACGGGTAGTTTGGTTTGCAGGTCCTTTACGTCCCTTTTTAATAACACTTGATCTCAATCCTCTCGCAGATACTCTCCTCGAGCTCTATGAAGCTCATAACAGAGCAGAGCAGGACGGAAGGAATGGCGGAGGCTGTTGGCCTTGCTTTACGCAGGTTTATCCACTGCAGATGGAGACTGAGGAGGAGGTTTTGCAGGCAGATTTAAACTCTGCAGATGGAGACTTAGGTGGAGGTTTTGCAGGCAGGTTTAAACTCTGCAGATGGAGGCTGATGAGGAGGTTTTGCAGACACGTTCTCAGGTTTCTGTTATGTTTTTCTTTTCAGTATTCAGTCTTGCTTTTCTCCTTGTTTTATAGTCCTAGTAATTTAACATTGTGGTATTTCCAGTCTTCCAGGTTTCTCTTTTGTTGCTCTCTCCTGCCCTCTTATGTTCTCCTTCTTCCCTAGCTCTTTCCCTCTTGTTCTGAGCACACCTGCTCCCAGTTTCCTCATTAGCCCCTCTTTGTCTCAGTCTCCTTTAAAAGCCCTCTCTCTTCAGTTCCCCTTTGCTGGGTCCTCGTCAAACACTGCCAAACTTTGTCAAACTTCCTCCAACTCCGTCTCCCTGAGTCTTCCTCGTTGTGACAGTGATTCCCCTGATGTCTCCACGGTTTCTGGTTCGTTTTGACTAGTTTTTTATGTTTGATTCTTTTGGATTTTTGGACTCCTGATTTCATGCTTGTTTGGACTTCGTTTTCATTATTGTATTTTTGGATAACCTGCCTTTGTTTTCAGTTTCCCTTTTTAATTAAATCAATGAAATTCACCTCTGCCTTCCTGCCTCTGCTTTTGGGTCAACACTCTATAACCAAATCCTGACACAGGTTTAGACTCTGCAGATGGAGACTGAGGAGGAGGTTTTGCTGGGAGTTTTAAAAGCTGCAGATGGAGACTGAGGGGGAAGTTTTTTTGAAAGATTTAAACTCTGCAGATGGAGGCTGAGGTGGATGTCTTCCTGGCAGGTTTAAAATCTGCAGATGGGGATGGAGGTTTTGATGGCAGGTTAACTGCAGATGGAGACTGAGGTGGAAGTTTTGCAGGCAGGTTTAAACTCTGCAGATGGAGACTTAGGTGGAGGTTTTGCAGGCAGGTTTAAACTCTGCAGATGGAGACTGATGAGGAGGTTTTTCAGGCAGGTTTAAACTCTGCAGATGGAGACTGATGAGGAGGTTTTGGGGGGTAAACTTAAGGTTCGGAGATGGAGACTGAGGTTGAGGTCAACTCAGCAGTTTCTTTTTTACTTTAATCCATAACCGATTTTGATTGATCCAAAGAGGTTTGATTTAAGTGATCAAGCTTTAGGCTGAACTTTTAGAGAATTATATAAAAATGTGTTGGTTTCATTGTCAGTATTGTCAGTCAGGTTTTGAGTTTTTGTCTTGGAACTTTGTTTTTTTTTTTACTCATCCAAGATGTAAAGAGGAGGATATTTCCCACAGCCATAGGTGATGTTTTCATTAATCAGTCCATTTTGGCTGGCTAACGATGTAATAGAGGGCTTGTTCATCCTTTCCCAGAGCTTTTGCTTGATACCTCGCCCTAAGTTGAGACTGTAAGGTCGCCTTCGACCATTTTTGTACCTGTGAAAAGCAGACATTTATAAAATGACAACAGATCGGCATGGGTTTAACAATTTTAAAATCTTTAAAACTAAGTGTTGAGGTCCCAACTTCCAACATCAATATAAATTCACCTCAGCATGTCATCAACCACTTCATGGTAAATCTGCTGGTACTCCTCTACTGTGTAGGTGTGAATCATCAAGGGCTCATTGTCCTGCACAGCAGCAGTGGACGACTGGTTGAGGATTGGCATATGACAGACTGCTGGGAGGTCTGCAGGGTGGATGGTGGCCCCAGGCTTAGAGATCAGCCTTTCAACCTGAGTGGTGCATTGAGCAGGAGCTGAGGTCACAACAAGAGGTTGGTTGGGATGAGCTGCCATTGAACGCCTCCTCTTCTGGGGAGGCGTGGCAGAGTCAGGAGAACGATGGCGTTTTCTAGATACTTTAGGGGCCTGGAGAAGATAAGAAAGTTTGGAGTAGAACCTACTTGGAAGTTCATTTCACAAAAACCAAACAGCAAATATTTACTGTTATATAAAATTTATCAGTAGCAGTTTTTAGTGTGTGTTTAAAGATGAGAAAAAGATTTTACCTGCTCATCTTGGCAGCATGGACATTCTCTCTTAGTCCTGCCCGCTGAAGCTCTCACTGCTCTCTGATTACCATAAAGATTGACAGGAAGACCACATGATAAAACAGGCATTAGACTGAGGCTGTGATTATATTTAGACCAAAAGAGATTTTGTGATATTATTGCGATACACCTTGCGAGTCTGTCTCGCAAGGTGTTGCATAGATGCTATCCAGGGGGAAACAATCTAAGTTATTATTATGCACTCCATATACAAAGATAGAGCTCTAAGGTTAATACAAGAGGTTGAAACTCTTATTTTGAAATTAGGAATGAAGTGGTTTTTGAGTTGCCATGGTGCATTGATGGAGTCAGTTAATTAAAACTGGTCGGCTGACAACTCTATTGCATTATGAGGAAACAAGTCACAAAACTCTTAGATCATTCTTTTGGCAGCTCTACAGGCAAACAGTAGAAACAAGCAAGAAAAAAACTTTTAAGCAATGCAAGAATTTATTATGTAACACTATTGATTCAAATGGTGCTGAAGATGGCATCTAATTTTTGATTTAAAGCAATGATAAACTAAAGAGCTAACACCAAAGTTTGTTTTTCTTTACATTA